CTGCTCTAGCGTCTGGTTCAGTCTCCTTCTGGCTCAGTGACTGCCAGAGAGCAGCTTAACCTCTGAGTCTGAGTGTCCTCACTAGGACGTGGGACAGTGGTAGTACCTCCGAGCTTCTGGTGCTCTTTGAGGATTGGAATGACCTACCTGTGAATCTCAGCTCAGGGCTGGCAGCGGGTGAGCTCAGAAAACTCCACTGGCAAGGCTGCATCCGCCAGAATCGTTGCGGAGATGCTTTTGCAAAATGATAAAGAGCTGTGCATTTCAAGTGCCCATCCCTGTGGCCATTTTGTCCTTCCCTCGGACTCGCTCTCCACCTCCCCAGGGTCTACCACTAAAAGGGTCCCACGGGAACCCTAGGGCCTGATCCAACTCTGTGGAAATGTCCTCCGTTATTGGTTGGTAGTCATCCTGTACTGGTTCTTAAATATTTGAGTATTACCCCAGGTATGTATATAATAAAATACTTTGCTGTGACAGATATGTAACTAATGACTGCTCCTGCGTGTGTGCTCAGGCGTGTACAACTCTTTGCTACTCCATGGACCATGGCCTGCAAGGCTCCTCTGTCCATGAAATTTTTCAGGCAAGAATACTGGAGTGGGTTACCATTTCCTACTCCAAGGGATCTTTCCAACCCAGGGATTGAACCCACGTCTCTTGTGTCTCCTGCATTGACAGGCAGGTTCTTTACTACTAGCGCCACCTGGGAAGCCCATATATATAATATATATACATAAAATTGGGATCTAGATACTGTCCTATTCAATCAAGCAACCAATCCTTCTTGAGTCACTCATTTAGAGAGCTATTGATTATTGATTCATTGAAGCATTTATTTCTCTGCATGTTCTCTCATAGCTCAGTTATTAATTATGCTGCAGTCACTCTACATAAATCCCTTTTCAAGGACCTGGGCATACCAGACAGGCCTAGAAGTCTCTTTTTGAGGAGCCTGTGGTTGACTCCAGGGGCTCAAGTGTGTGTACTGCCTTTTTTAAACCGAGAATAAACAGGTGACTGGCAGGAGGGAAGAGTTGCAGGTATTCAAAGAGAGGGGACAGCCGGTTTTGTGAGGAGAGGGCAACGGAGCTGAGCTGAGTTTTGAAGGATGCACAGGGTGGGGACATGAGGGTGGGGGCCCTTGGCAGCTTGAGAGTAGGCAGTGAAGATGGTCAGATATGCATTTTAAGCATAGTTCCTTGTGACATGAGAGAAGAATCTAGGAAGGCAGAGGTGGCAGCAAGGGTTACTTCCAGAGCTCCTGGGCCATCACAGAGGGCATAGACTGAGTTGTGACACTGCCAGGCTACAAAAGACCATGGTTTTGGGGACAAGTCTGGGTTCTAACTTGGTTCTCTAGTTATCCAACTGGGGAGGCTCAGACAAGCTACTGAGATTCTCAAAATCTTAGGTGCTTCAGCTATAAAGCAGGGACAGCAAACTTATTTCATCCGGTTGTCATGATTCCTCCATGAGTACTCAAAATGTATTAAGAGCAGGGCACATAGTAGGTACTTTGGCACATAGTAGGTGCTCAGTAAAGGGCTGGTTTTTTTTGTTTTTTTTTTTTACTGCCTGGATGGTGGAAATAGGGACCAGAGAACAGAGGATGAAAGTGAGAGACTCCTGAAGAGCAAATCAGCAGACAGGAAGCAGCAAAAAAACAAAACAAAACAAAACATTGTGATGGTTGAGATCTGAGGATGGGGAAGAAGAGAGTGGCCTTATCAGAAACAATTAGTTTGTGGAGAGTATTAGTTTTCTGTGACAAATTACTCCAAAACATAATGGTTTAAAGCAACAATCAACGTTTAATACCACACATGGTCATTCTCTTCAAGAAAGGCCACAGTTGTACTTGAGACTTGCTTTCAAGTTCCCAGTGAGAAGGAATCTGGCCCTACTTGGGTCAGGAGTATTCTCAATCAGCTATGGCCAGAAGAACACTTAATGCATCCCTGGGGTACCTCTGTGCATGTGTGTGCGTGCGTGTGCATGTATCCCAATGTGTGCTTACAGGTGAATTTGCCTGCATGTCTGGGTGTGTGGTCATCATGACCAAAGAAGTCATCGTGAGTGAGGCTTCCATTCCCAGAAGTGTCAGCTGGAGTAGCACAGTTAATCTGGGAAGGGCCGCATTGGAACTTGTTTTAATCTCCATGGGCCCTACAATATCTGTCACAGCTACTCTGATGTTGCAGGGCCAGAGCAGTCACAGGCAATAGACACAGAACAAAAAGAACAAGCCAGGCTGTGTCCCAGTAAAGCAATTTCCAAAATAGGCAGCCAGCCAGATTTGGCCTTTGAGCCATCGTTTGGCAATCCCTGAACCCAGTGCTGAAATTATTGCATGTTTGTTTTAGATTTTTCATTCTTGTCTGCGGTGGATGTGGAAATGCACAACCCCCCATCCTGCCTCTGTCTTGCAGCAGAGCCTCCTTCCAGAAGGACTGGCTGCCAGCTGCAGGCAATGTGGGCAGCAGACAGCCCTGGGGGGACCTCGCCAAGGCAGCCCCAGCTGCAGGAGTCTCCCCACTGAGGACATGCCCTCGCCTTTGCTGGGGGATGGCCAGCTATGGGGTGTAGTGGAGAGAGGCTCAGCCATTTTGTCCCAGAGTGCTTCACTGGTTGGCTCAGCTTTCAGTGGGCCTGTATCACATTCAGCTTTGTCCAATCCTGCCTTCACCATCTTATGTGTTCTTTGGAGAACAAGTTTTAAAAACTCAAACTTGTAATGTCATGAGTGTGGTACCAAGAATAGCTGCTGTGATGAACCAGAGGAGGAAGAGCTCTCTGAAGGCTGAAGCAGTCAAGGATGGCTTCCTGGAAGAGGTGGCATTGGAGCTGCCTTTAAAGGACTCCTTAACAAGTTAATCTGCTGAATGCTGGTGCTGAGCTGGCTGTTCTGAGGAGGAAGCAAGTCAGTGCTCCTCTGAAAAGGGGGGATCTCACCCCAGCACAGGGCACAGAGGGCTTGGTGGTGGGGAACAAGGGCTGGGCTGACCTGGGAATTAGGTACATTTCCACCACAAGTAAGGTCTTCACAGCTAAGAATTCCTCTCATGTTGAGTCTCCAGTTCTGAGTGCATTTCTGTGCTTCTGGTTTGGGGATATCCCTGGGATGGGTTTGGGGAAAACAACAAGCCCCATGCCCTTCCTGTCCACCGTACTGGGTCATCCTACCACAGACTCTTCCGCGGGCTCTGTGCTGTGGTTGGGCTCTCAAAGAGGTCACACCTCGTGCTTCCCAGGGATGAAGTCACGGGAGCTATGGGGAGGTGCAGAGCAGTTGCCTGGGGAGGTGAGCCTTCAGGAAGGCTTCACGTAGTTGGAGTCAGGTGAAAGGATGAGTGGGATCGGGGTGGGCAGGAAGAGGGGAGGGGCCGTTAGAGAGAACAGTGGCCAGGCGTGGACCCCATCGAGGACTGGAGAGTCTTCAGGGGAGCCTGGGTGAGGCTCCATGGGTGTCGGTGCTCTGAGCCCCATAATCTCTCTGACCAGCACCCCAGTTACAGGTTAGGGACGTTCTGTCCTTGCGCCGAATCCTCTGGGCTCAGGCCCACCCTAGGGCCTGGAGTGTCTGCTCCCAAGATGGGCTTATCCCTCATTTATCCCTGGCCCCATCACTGGCCAGCTGGGGGGTTGGGGAGAGAAGAGGCGGGGGCATTGGGCAGGAATCAGTCATTCAACAGAGAGTTACTGAGTGCAGGTGTGTGACTGGTGATGGAGTCCGTAGTAAGCAAGGACAGGTACCTGGGAGAGTCTCGGACCCTGGCAGTCCCCTTCCCAAGAGTGACCCAAAGGTGAGAGTCACAGCTGTGCCAGGAAGCCCTCACACGTGCTGGGGGTGCTGGCAAAGACAGGGCATTTCCTCCCCCCAAAATGAGCAAAAGATCAATTGAAAAATGGATGGAATACTTCAAACAAGGCCTGACGCACCAGGGGAAATCCAGAACTTTGCCAGATGTCCTTACACTGACTTGACTGCTAGTATTTAATGGTGTGTCCTAGTGGGGGGAGGCTGGCTGACCGCCCCAAATGTTTCCAGGGCTCATATGCCTCCAGAGTCTTAATCTGCTCTGCAGAGGGTCATGAGAGTATGGCTACAGGTGTGGTTGTGGAGTGGTGTGTGAAAAAAGGAAACATTAGAAACAACGCCAATGCCCACCTGTGGGGGCTGGTTCCCCACGTCTGGGGATGCGGCCCCGTGAGCTCCAGGTATTGAGAGAAGACAGGAGGATGTGGGATCCCGCAGAGATGCCCAGCTTAGCAGCGGCAAAGTGTGACTGATGTAGGCCACTTGGGTTTTGTTTTTAAAGTGTAGAGCCTCAGAGAAGCCTGAAAGGAAGTGTTCTAGAATTTAAGAAGTGCACACCTGCAGCTGGTGGAATTACAGCTGGTGGATTTTGTTTTATTTTACTTTGTAATTATTTAATTTTATTTCACTTCTTAATTTTATTTTACTTCTTATATATTATTGTTCTTTGTAATTTTATTATTTTGCTGATAATTTCCTTTTTACTTTATCTTACTTTATTTTACTTTATCTTATTTGATTTGATTTGACTTTATTTTTGCTTTTATGTGTTTTCCAAATTTTCCACAATGAACAGATATCACTCTGGTAATCAATTACAAGCTTCAGTGGTCCCTGTAAAGCATTAGCCAACCGTTTCTAAGCTCTCTGGGGCTGCTGCTGAGAGCTGGACGGAGGGGATCAGGTGGGGCCCTGACCCCCAAGATCTCCAGCCCCTTGGCATGGGGTCGGGCAGGGGTCTCTAAGCCCTGGGAATAGAAGTGCCCAGAACCCTTTCACTGAGCAAGCCCTGGCAGGAGAACCCCTATGAAGAGGCAGATTTGCAGCCTTGGGGTCCCCCCACACAGAGAACGTGCAGGCAGCAGCACAGACCAGGAACTGCTTGGGTTGGTTGTGAAGGCAAACACACGGGGCTGCGGCCCCAGCTGGCAGGCTTCAACACCTGTTCCCTCCTGTTTACCTGCCCAGGGGAGCTCCGGGCACAGGGCCAGGCCCACCCGCAGCCTGGGTGCACCCATGTGCATCCCTGGCAGCGCGGGGCCTGGGGAGGCTCCCGGGAGAACCCTGGGATGCCCAGCCAAGGCCTGCAGGATGTGGAGTCCAGTGCGAAGGCTGGAGGTGGGGAAGCAAGGGGCTTGGTGAGGCCTTCAGGTGGGGCTGGCAAAGCCTAAGCGTCAGCTGACCACGCTGGACGTGGGGCCGGGACGACTCCAGGTGGGAGTTTGAGAGGGGAGGAAGGGACCTGGTGTTTGAGAAAGAATGCAAGAGGTATGAACCCAACAGACAGGACTGGGGCAGGTTTGAGGCCTTGTGGGGAGAGAGGTGAGCCAGAGGCTGGGGGTCTTGATGAGACTCTGGGCTGCTGTGAGGGTGTGTGGGGGACAGCAGGAACCCTGACCAAGCCACCGCCAAGCAAAGGTACTGGATGGACATGCTACTGAGGGCTGGGCACCCCTCAAGTGGCCAGGACAGTGGGGGACAGGCTGTGCTGGCAGGCAGAGGGAGCTCCGAGCCACCCTGCCTTGGTCATCAGCGTCAGCGTGGTGGCACCAACGAGGCGGAACAGGGGAGCTTTGGGGTGATGCCCCAGCGGAGAAGAGCTCCCGGTTCTTACAGTCCACCTTGTCCAGGACCAGGGGCTGGCAGGGGAGTGGCCTGTGCTGAGTGACAGGGCTCACTGCTAGAGCTGTTGTGGGGGGAAAGGGTGGCAGCACCTCAAATCTGAGGGGCCTCCCTGTATGGGGGACGGCTGCTCTCTCCCGCAGAAGGGATGGTTCCTGGAAACCCCAGAGCAGGAAGGGACAGCTCTGCAGTCACACCCTCCAGTGGATCTTGGGTTCCATTACATTTCCTGACTTTGGTCTCAGCTATGTGTAACTGGGTTCTTGCCCCTCTTGGTAAATAATTTTGGTTTTTAAATAACTTCCCCATTTACTCTTCCCCTCTCTGGAGCCTCAAGTCTGAGGAAGGAGGAGAAGACACCCCACCCTCTGGGTCCCCAGCCACCACAGGAGGGTAATGTCCTGGATGTGGACCCCCAGCCCCGGTCACGCCTTCGGATGACGGCAGTCACACTGTCGCCTAGATGACAGCCTCCCCAGAGGCCTTGAGCCAGAACGGCCCAGCTTAGCCGCTCCCAAATTCCTCTCCCGCCGAAACCGGGTGAGATAATAAACGTTATTGTTGTTTGGGCTTCTGAGTTTTGTGGGAATTTATTATGTAACAATAGAGAAAATGCTGGAAGAGCACAATGCCGAGTGAAGGGTGGGGGGTTGGGGGTGGGTTGGAGTCCAGGTGAGGCTGGAGAGGTGGGCAGAGGAGGATGGGGCTTGAACTTGAGAGCTCCCGGGAACCCTGGGTGGAGGGTTCAGCAGAGGCGGGGCACAGCACCATGTCACACTAGGGAGCTGAGAAGCCTTGAGAGGCTCCTGCAGGTGTGGGTGGGGGTGCGGCATGAGGCGGAGCCGCGGCGAACAGTGAGGCTTGCAACGTGCCCTTAGGCCCAGCAAGCAGACAGGCAGAGGGGCCCTTGGCCTGAGCCGTTTGGGTGGGTTGGGGCGAAATCAGACCACACGGTGAAGTGAATAGATAGGGTGTAACCGCTCCATCACGGAGGTGGCGCTGAAGGAGGAGAGAGGCAGGGAGGGGTCTGCTGCCTCTTAGCAGGGGGCGTCCCCAAAGGGCTCCAGCACGCCCTTCCTCCAAGAGTGTCTGAGTGCCTACAACCTGGGCACTCACTCATGGCGGTCTCCAAGTGGGCCCTGAAGAGCGGGCAAGGTCTGCCCCGGACGATGGGCTTCTCCTCACCGCCTCTGTGTTCCCTGCCCCACCCCCACCCCCTGAGTGGGTCTGTAGAGTCGTGTCTGCTTGGATTGTTATAGGTGGAGAAAAAGGGCAGTTTGCAGACGGGCATCTCCAGATGATTGAGCAGGTGGCCACCACGTCCCTGGGCACTTGAATGTGTCTTGTTAACGACCGAGCTTCCTCCCCACGTCATGACATGGGCAGCAGCTCGGAAGGTCCCGTGGACGGCCGCGCTCTCAACGCTGGAGCCGGTCACACCTGAGCGACCTCAGACTTGGCTCGTCCATCACTGAGTCAGTGAAGGCATGAGGGCCAGCAGGGTGTCCAGGTGAGAGCCCGTCTGGCCTTGAGGTCCTGGGGATGGCCTTGGCGGGGCTCTGGAAAGGAACAGCCTCCAGCAAGCCCAGGCCCGAGGGCAAATCTGGGGCCGTCACAGAGGAAATTCCTCAGCCTGCGGGTGGTTAAGAGGAGGCCTGACAACACTCTGCAGGGTCTGCCGTGAGGTCTTGGCTGATATGGGGAGGCAGCCAGAGCGTGGTGGAACGGGCAGTGCGTGCAGAGAACTTTCCATCTCTCTGTCACCCCGCGTTGGATTGGCTGCTCCACTTCAGCCATAAGCAGGGGCACAACCAGGGTCAAATCCAGTCTCTCTGACTCTAAGCCTGTGTCCTCTCCTCTGGGCAGACTGAATACTTAGATGACCTGATTTCTTCAGAATGACTGCAATCAAGACAGAGGGGTATTGGCAAAGGGATAGACACATAGATCAATGAACAGAATTGAGAGCCTGGAAATAGACCCATATATATGCCCAAATGATTTGCAACAGAAGTTCAAAGGCAAGTCCATCGTCAAAATCTAATCTTTCAGCAGATAGTGCTAGAATAATTAGCCATCCATAGGTAAACAATGAACTTTGATCCATACCTCACATCATATACAGAAAAATGACTCAAAGTGGAGAGTAATGTAAATGTATAATTTAGAAGTATAAATTCCTAGGAGAAAAATACCTGTGACCTGTGTTAGGAAAAAGAGACAATTTGTAACAAGAAAAATTCATATATTGGAGTCTGCCAAGATTTGGAAATTTTTGTTCTTTGAAATGAAGAGGAGATGGATTCAGAGTCTGTTAAGGATTCTCAAAGGTCAGTGATAAGAAAATAAATCACCTGATTAAAAATGGACAAAAGACACACAAGTGGCAAATAAGCTCCTGAAAAGATGATGAGCATACCTAGCGGCCAGGGATATGCAAATTAAAACAGCAGTGAGACCCGATGACACGCCTATTAGGATGGCTAAGGCAAACAATCAGAAAAGGACCATACCAAGGGCTGACCAGGATGTGACACAAGGATCTCACACGGTACCAATGGCAATGCAGAGATGTACGACCCCTTCCGAAAACAGTGGGCAGTTTCTTAAAAAGTCAAACATAGTCCTGCCATATAATCTAGACTCTTTGCTTCTAGGTATTCACCCACGTGGAATGAAAACTGATCTCCACACAAACACCTGTGTGTGGATGTTTATAGCAGCTTTTGTTGTTGTTGTTCAGTTGCTAAGTTGTGTCTGACTCTTTGCGGCCCGTGGACTGAAGCACACCAGACTTCCCTGTCCTTCACTATCTCTTGGAGTTTGCCCAAACTCATGTCCATTAAGTTGGTGATGCCATCCAAGCAACCATCTCATCCTCTGTTGCCGCCTTCTCCTCTTGCCCTCAATCTTTCCCGGCAGCAGGGTCTTTTACAATGAGTTGGCTCTTCTCACCAAGTGGCCAATGTATTGGAGCTTCAGCCTCCTTTAGGATTGACTGGTCTGATCTGTTTGCAGTTCCAGGAACTCTCAAGAGTCTTCCTCAGCACCACAATTCGAAATCATCAGTTCTTCCACATTCAGTATTTTTTATGATCCAACTCTCATTTTATTCATAATCAATTCAAGCTGGAAACAACGAAGATGTCCTTCAAGAGGTGAGCAGGAAGCAAGTGGCACTATATCCAAAAAGTGGCATGAAATTTTCAGCAATAAAAAACAAGACAAAAACAACGTGGATCAATCTTAAAGCATTTCGCTAAGTGAATGAAACTAGAAATAAAAGATAACATAATGTATGACTCCATTTTCATGACATTCAGCCAAAGACTATTGGGACAGAAGGCAGGGTCGAGGAGAGAGGCTGAGCACAAAGGAGCGGCTCAGAGGCAGTTTGGGGGAACGGGGCTGTTTTGTTCAGTACTGTGCTGGCTGAGTACACAACTGTATGCCTTTGTCAAAGCCCACGGGCCTGTACACTACAAAAGATAAACTTCACTACACACAAATTCTAAAAATTAACCAGGGTGTGAAGAACCCAAAATGGAATGCTGATTGTGACCAACGAACCAGATTTTATTACAATTGAATGAAATAATCACATCGAAGGAGATGGGGGTGAAAGGAGACACCTGAGTAATTTTAAACAGTGTTCTGTTTGGTTGCTGTAAGGTGAAATCGAAGGATCTAGCCACAAACGTGAACACTGGTTGATGACTTTCTCACAGGGCACAGGTTAGCGTTCTGATACCTGTGTGCTGTGCTCAGCCACATCCAGCTCTTTGTGACTCTATGGACTGCAGCCCGCCAGGCTCCTCCGTCCGTGGGATTCTCCAGGCAAGAGTACTGGAGTGGGCTGCCGTTTCCTCCTCCAGGGGGTCTTCCCGACCCGGGAATTGAACCCGGGTCTCCTGTGCCTCCTGCATTGCAGCAGGCAGATTCTTTACCCACTGAGCTACCTGGGAAGCCCCTGCATGTATGTATACTAGAGCTGAACAAATAAGTAATTTACTGTGGATAAGGACAGGTTTATCACTTCAGAAAAAAAAAAAAACTATGCTAGAATGAACCCTGTGGTGTTGGGTTGGAGTTGGAGGGGTCAGTGTGTACACTGACCCTTATGTGTGCATACACACATACACACACATGTATAAATGGACATACGAAGAGGCATATAGACGTGTGCACATACGTGGTTAGCATACAAGCACACATCTCCTGGCTCTGCCCACTGAGAGGGCTGAGAAGCAGTGACACCTCAAGGGCAATGTGTGTATCTAGCACACAAATCTTAGTTCCCAAGAATCATCCTCCAATAGAAGGAACCAGGGTTCCTTGGGGGAAGTGATTGATTCCAGGGCTGAGGCAGGGAAAATATAAGGCTAAAAAACATAGATGCATA